CAGGAAGTTATCTCAGGACACTTTTCAAATGAGAGCAGGTCTAGACCCGAACTCTTTCACATTTACAGAGGACCCTCAACCAGGTTACCACCAATGAGCAAGCACTTGGCGACGGGGAAGGGAATACTGCCTTTAACAGGGCGAAACCTATGAACAGGACCCCCTTCGGCATGATAGGTGTTTTATGTCTTGTTGTTGTAGCAAATGTGATTAGCTGTAATTTTAAAGTTAACTCAATAAGGGTGTACGAGATGAAAAGGGAACACACCTAAGGCTAGAGCGGAAAAAAAGGGTGCTAATGTTGAAGCAATATGTCTTGTTATCCGCAATGGCACAAAGTGGGAAAAGTCTCTCTGTCTCTCACACGTTCGTCTAAACCTGTGTGTCATAGATAAGTGGAAATTGTCCAAACATGGTTATGCTTGGACAAAGTATAACCTTTCCCCTACCGCCGTCCCCCACGTGGTATAGAGCACAACTATATCACGAGTATGTGGTGTAGTGTACGATAGTAGAAGATTCGATCCTCGGTAGGTACCTCAGCCATTGCGGAACAGTCGGTTTGTTCACATCCAAGCCTTCATTACATTATGGTTTAGCTAAGTCCTCGCGCGCCTCCCTGTGTTATGCCTAGTAATTTAGCGGTATTGGCTTTCTGTAACTTTGCCTGCTCTGTGATAGGCAGGTTAGAATCATCTTGAGCTAAATTTCCCTCCGCTGTAAAAACCCGAATAAGCTTGTGTTATTTTACCTCTTAGACTCACTCTTAATAATACCTTTAATAGTGGTCCGACAGGATTTTAAGCTGTATAAACGTCAGAGGGGTGAGTACATGTCTTTTGTGCTAACATAGACCAAAGCTATGGTAAATTGCTATGTATAGTCAGATTGTAGTCTAGGTTTGTGGCTCTCTATGGTCGAGATCTCTCTTCCCTATTACCCATGCATCTATATCATCCTGGCACCATTCTGAGGGTTTTATAATGATCTCAGACCTCTCTAATGTCAGGATAAACAAAATAATCTCTGTTAATTCTCCTGGCTAATATATCTAGAGCCAGATAATCCGTTGTGACAGACGTTGCTTTAAAAACCAAATAAAACATAATCCTGATATCACCTCCTCGCTCTCCAGTCCGACTATTACCCAGCAAAAATTTGGATCTTTCGACTTTTATGTCGAATGGCTACCTCGTAGGATGTGTAGTGTGTCGCGAGTTGGTGCATTCAGTGTGCTGGATGAGCAGATGAGAAATACTTGGTTGACTACTGCAACTTGCTGGTAGAGCCTAATTTAGTCCTCGTCTTTTTTTATGGTATGTTAATATGGTCATGTCTCTCGCTGGATGTTAGTGTCTGCTTTGCACATTTTTGTCATACTCTACGCCCATTCTGGGTCATTTCATAACAAGCTAGTCTTCAGAATAAGTAACTTAGCATGTCTTCAGCTTTTGCGACGTTAGCTTGTCTGCAGCTGCTAGTTCATTCAGTATCTAGGCTACGTATGTCGCTAGCTGGATGTCTCTCGCCTATTCCTCCTAGCGTCAACCTGCCTCCCTACGACGGGTATGTTACTATTATTACATCGTCACTCAACTGTCGGTTGTCTGCTGAGCTGTTCCTTCGATGTTATTATATCATACATAGTCATGTGTTCAATATACTTCTGTTGTTGGTTCTTTCGTTTGTCCGTGAGTATAGAGGCAGCCAGCCCAGGTTGTGGATGTCTTGTCAAACAGATGGTGATATTCCAAAGGTATTTCCTTCCCTCTGCCTTTCTCACGGAGACACCTCCACCTGCTCGTATTTGTGCTGTCCAGCATACCTCGCTGTCATTGTATAGGTGTGCAGCTGGTTAAGTGTTTGTTAGCTCCTAATAGGTCTTAGCTGAAAATGGGGTTTAACCATGAAGCCATGAAGAAAGCTGCCTTCATTTACCCACGTCTATTATCCCATCCGAAGGGATTGTTTGACCCCACCTGTACCTCGGAAATGAAAACAGTGTCCTCAGAGCCGATCTACTCCCTCGGCGCGCACCTGTTACTCCCTGACAAGTTAAATTCCGATCTTGTGATAACCTTGCCATGAGAGCGTCTACTTCTGGTGTTATTCTGCATGAGATGTCTTCTCGTGTCGTCTGGTGGCCGCTTTCTTTCTCTTTCTGACCCTACTCTGGTCTTTTCTACACAGCAGGAAGCTGATATTGATGGAGTCCTCACTAAACTTGAGTCAAAATATACATTGCCACAATATCGTTTTATATGTTTTCAATGACATTCGTTACTAATTGGTGCATTTGTGCAAAAAATTGTTAACTATTATGTTGATTAACCCTTGTGAGACTATTACAAGGGACAAGATGACTGTCATCAACCTCTGACTGGCCAGGAGTTAGCTGCAGCAACTGACAAGGCTTCGAGGTTGGCCTGTTATCTACTTTAGGCAGTCACTGTAATTAAACAAAATACTAAATCAATGGACTCACATTGATGGTAAGAGACAAGAAAGCTCAATAAATTGTGTTAGTAAATTGCTAAGAGAGATTTAATAATAGAATATAAATATATAATAAATTACATAACAAAAATAAGTTTTTCCACTCACTTGCATTGGCTCTACTGTGAAATAGTACACGCTGCTTCTCCTTAAGCTAGTTCAGAAATAAGTATTAGGCAAATTGTTGTTTTTTTCTCAAAGGTCGTTAGTTATGAATGTATAAGATAGCGTCCTCAGCACACCCCCATAACCTCCCAAATAAAACCCGAAAACCCATGACGCCTCACGGCTTAATACCGAACCCTCTGTAATGTGTGTCGGTTCTTAGAACATGTTTTAAGTTTTTGAAAGATGGTTGTTGTATAGTAAGCTACTGTAAAGGACAAAATAATATATAAGGTGATATTTACATACTATGGGCTACATATTTTATATCTTACTTATTTTTATTCACATCTTTTAAAACTATTTACAATGTGTGATTGGGCTTTTTTCACCCTTTGTATATTGTTGTCTTCATATTGTCATTGGTATCCGTCTTTTTATAAATAAACCTTGGACGGAACAACAAGTATGTTTAGAAATAAATAACCAGATAAAGGATTTTGTAGTATCATCGGCTTCGTTGTGGACTTAAGTTATATTCAGAAAACATATATGTTGTGAGCTCTAATGTGGTTACTTGCAAACTGCTTTGGGGTTAATACTGTATAATACTATACCTATCAGTATTAACGCTATATATATATATGTATACCTGCTATAATATATAATGTGTGTGTATGTGTATATATATACATATATTAAATATATATACATATATAATGTTGTTTTTGTAGGTGTATTCTATATATACATATATATATATATTATGCGTGATGGCTCCTGTTTGTGTCTCTCTGTTATCTCTTTATAAAACTGACGAAACAGTGTTTAATATTTGAATATACTATTATATTCTGCTCTAATGTGTTACATTAATATATATTTTATTGACCATTTAAAAAATGACTTTGTTTTATTCCTCAAAACTAGAAATAACTCAAATACATTAATATTCCATTAAATGCACCAAAATAATATTGTTTTTAAAATGTAGACATTCATTAATGTATAAAATAAAATATTTCTGTTTTAATTTGATTCAGTATTTATTGTATTAATTCCCATGTTTATTTACTTTCCCATTTAATTTTCCATTTAATTAATTAGTTGATTCATTTCTAAAGTTTGTAAATTGTAAAGTAAATAAATAGGCTAATTTAATACAAAGGTAAATAAATACACAAGTTAATTAAAACAGAATCATTAATTTATGTAATATTTTCTAAATTAAATTAATGTCTACATTTATTTTAATATTAATTCTGGTGCATTTAATTACACATAAATATTAGCTTATTAGCGTACTGTGGCACATTTACATTGAAGTAAACTGCAATGTTATGTTTATTTATGTTTATTGTCCCTTGGAAATAAATAAATACATACATTTCATATGAAGTTATTTAATAATCTTTGATTTGTGGCACTTGGGGCCCTCCATAGATGTAGTGTTTTAAATTCATAAGGTACAGTATAATACATTCTGTTGACAGAAGAAAGGTGGAGGTGATTAGATTTGGATGCAACCAAAATAAACACTAATATTAAGTAACAATCATTCGATATAACCTTTATTTTACTTCAACAATCTGGGTCTGTATTTAACAAACCCTTTCAGTCCCTCTTTCAGTCTAACTTTACTCTAACTTGATAAATGTGGACCTTGAACCTCCCATTCAGCCCTCTCTTGTCGTTGGCTTCTGTTGCTCTTATTGTGTTGTATTTCCCTCTTTAGAGAGCTTATCTGGAAGCTCATATCTGTAACGCTGCACCCTCAGCTAATGCCAGTTTTCTGTGCAACCTTTCAAGAATGTACAGTATGTTCTGCTCTGATATCAGCTCAGCAGGAAATAAAGACTCATTTGTCTACAAGAGAGAAGGTGTAAGGGTTTGTAAAATGATTCACAGCTAGACAGGAAGCTGCAAACACTGATCTGATGCTTTAAAAGGCATCTAGGGCCTATTTGTGTGGTGGCGTGACGACCAATCGGCACTCCGACTGAGTGAGCAAACTAAGGAAATTAAATCTAAATAAAGTAATTTAATTAAACAGCCATTGCCAGTAGATGCCTTTAATTCGCCATCCAGTGTGAACATTTAATGCAGTGAAAGCAGGAACCTCATTGATCTATCAGTGAATATGATCAATTCTTACAGCATCTGGTGTCCACAGCTGGTTTCCACTTCAGGTCATTAAATGTCTGCAGACTCCTGAAGGTAGCAGGAAACGTGTTGAGGAGTTACACACTAGAGCTGCAACCATTTTAACTA